TTTTGATGCAAGTGCTTCCCTGCGAATAACGCAATGGATCCACAATGCATCAGGGTCTTTGCTTCAAAAAAGTGCTTGAAATCCTCCATAACACCTGAATGTGCACTTAGAATGTGAACCATCAGTATAGATACCAATGCATTTGGTCCATTCAAATTATTTTTGGATATAAAAATATCAAAGATCTCTAACAAGTCGTGAGCCTTAGCACCAGCAGTGATACTTTTACAAAAGAGAAAATCTTCTACAATGTTATTACTATCTATAAAGTGTACATAACAAATCAAGTGAGCATCATTATTATTATCTATGTCCTCATCTAGCTGCAACCCAAATTCCTTCCCTTTTATTTTTTCAATTAACTGAACATTGGATGTCCTTCGCTATGTGTTCTGTTTAGGGATTGTATACCGGTTTACTGATTTACCGGTTAACCGATAAATTGACAAAAAAACATTCGGTAAACTTACTGGTAAATTTTTGAAATTTACCGGTAAATCTGTAAATGAAAAATTCATACTAGGAATTTTTATGTAGAGAATATTGTGTTTATAGATATTTAAAAGGGCTAAAGGGACATTGAAAAAAAAAAACNCAAACCTATAAATTCCCACTGTCGTCCATCTGCCTGTCTGTCTGTCTGTCTTCCTTAATCTTGAGAACAGAGTTAGATAGATGAAAGCCAAGACCAGATACAGAAAGATTAGGGGCAGGAGGCCCGGATTAACTGTATACAAACTTCCAATGCAAACTGGAAGTCACATTATTTCAATTAAAAAATTTCCCTCCAAAAAGAGTTAGATAGTTGACTGGCCTGACTGTATTGCTAACAGGAAAGGTATGATGTACAGAGATAAAACACTACTAATTTGAAGTGGAGAGCATATATTTTAAATTAAATTAAAATAATGTGATTAAAAATTGCAGTCTGGCAATTTGATGATGTCACAATAAATAATTGCTCATTATATATTAAAATATAAATTGAATATGTTAAATTATGAAAGGAAAATAGAACAAATAATCACAATGACAATGAAAAATGTAAATTAATAATGTAATGTAGCAATATATTAATGTAGGATTGTACAATGTTAATTTATTTGTCTGCATTCATCATTATGGACAATTCAATGAAATTAAAACATCACTGCTGAAAATGGAACTACATAAAATTCTATTCTATTTGTTAATGAAAGACTACAGTACCTTAATGGACAATGAAATTATCCATTAAGGGTAAATCATTCATGCAAATCAGGCCAATTGGGAATAAAGCTTAACTCTTATCAAAATTACAAGCAATCTTAAATATGATTTACAGCTGATCTCCAAAATGACAGAATAGTATCTTGACCTAACCATCCAAGTCAGTAATACAGAAAATAAGAATTAAGAAATGACAATGACTTTAATATCAAAATCAAGGACAGCCTTGGCACAAAAATTATTTATACAGCAAATTTTATTTAATGTTATTTAAATTTAAGTAATTTCAAGCAATGTCAGAATATTTTTCCTCTCTTAAATAACAAATTTCATATTATTATGCTTATAGAAGAAACATAAAAAAAAATAAATGAACAAGTATTTTTTGTCCTTCCCACATCTTTGGAATCCAACGAATCAGATTAGGGATCCCCATCCATCAAATCTTCAAAAAAAGAGACCTGTTACTCACAGATAAAAATATAACAATATTTAGATGGAATAGTAATGAATTTGGTAGATGGAATATCATTGTGCACACAGTCTTCGGAGTTCTTGCCCATTGAAAGAGATGGCTAAATGCATGTCAACCATCTTTTCCCAGGTAAACTTATGCACAGTATCGTTTTTACTTGGTCGGAAACTTTTGCCACTTTTATCTACAACACGAGATGGACATCTACATATTTATTATTTCAGGCACATTCAAATGCCAATAGTGCATCAACAGTGTATTAAAGAGAAAAATGTTATTAGCAAAGATATTTCTTTTTTCATCCTTTCAAACCTCTTGGAAATTTGTGGATCTAATATTTTATGCACCATATAAGATTTTCCAATACAGTAGACCCCCTATAAAACGGGTTCATATAGTTCGAATTCCTATATGACGGTAAAAAAATTGCGACTATATTCGTATAAACAAGCTGAAAGAGACTCGTATAATTCAGTAAAACGTCATCACCGCCTCATGTCGCGACAGGATTGGTCGAATCTAGATCAATAGCGAATATTGTACAAACGAGCTTGAGTTGAGTTTAAACGAGCAGCGAACCTACTAAAAACCATTTATTATTTAACGGCCATAAAAATTATATTTATATTAATGTCTCCAAAGTCCAGCAAAGTTTTCGCAGAAAAATAATTTATCAGGAATCATGCGAGTGCCATTCGATGCACTGCTCCACGACGAAAACAAGCTTAAGCAATGGTGTCGTTGAATGGTGCACACTTGGTAAGTAATCCTACAATTTTTTGTTTATAGCATAGTTTATATGAATTATTCCCAAAAAATTATATATATTTTGGAAATGTTGAGTCGAATTAGTCTAGAATCGGTTAATTTTATGGAAGAAACCTTTCAAACAGCCATAGTCAGTAAACTGAATATGTGCTGGGCTGTGATTGACTCATGTATTTAAGGACTCATAAAAAAATGGATTTCATAAAAATCAGAACATATCTATTATGTTATAGGGGGTGGGGTTGACTATATTTTTGCAGCATTTTTAATAAGTACAATAATTATTTTTAGTTCTATATTAGAATTTCAAATTGCCTTTTAAACACAGGTAAACTGCAGGTAATATGCACAAAATTAATTATAGAAAGTTCAGTTATATACAAAACTTAAAACTTGGAATTAATTCAATCTGTTGTTCAGTTGTAAAATAAACATACGTTTAAAAATTTTTCCCACTGATTGCATTTGATTGATTGATTGATTGCAAGAAAATTTTGATATTTATTGAAAAATTCAAATTTAAATAAAGATATCTTGATAATTTATATATATTTTCTTACATTTACATTATTAATAAAAAATCCAATAAAAAGTATAGATGATTTTAACTGGAGATAAAATCTGATACAAATTTGAAATATTCTCAGAAAAATTTTGCATTTTAATGTAGATATAAAGGTGATTGATAAATATTGACAATTATTTCTAAACTCAAAACAACAAAATTTATGTGACTAATGAAACATTTGTTTTAATCCTCATTACATTATGACTAATTTGATGTATAGTTGAAACTTGTAGAACCCGTAGCATAGTGGCAGTGATGTAAAGATGACTGTGACAAAGAAGCGTTCCAGTGGCATTTGGCCTGCAAGGATAATGATGGAAAAATGTAAATGTTATCATTAAGTTATACATGACAACTGGATTGCTAGATCTAAATAAAAGCTTTTAAAATAATCTTCGCTATTCATGCACTTTCTCCAATGTCTGGGTAGGTTCCTGATCATGTGCTGAATTAACTGGACAACTCGTTGTTAAGCATTCACAATTTTCAAATATTTGACCCCATAAGTTTTCCTTGATTTCAGAAAGATATCAAAATTGCATAAGCTAAGATCATGAGAATACAGAGAATTTGTTCCAAAATCTCCCTGCTCTATTTCCAAATGAACGTCCTAACAGTGTACGCTATATGTGCTGTAGTGATATCATGCAAAATAATGAGTTTGAGTGTGAGCAGATGAAAACATTTTTATATACAAATGTTAGGACATGCTTTTTCTCCAAACATGATGACATTGTACAACTGCAACAGGCTGTGGGAGAATATGTCAGATAACTGTTACCAATGTCATTGTACTAGTAGTAGTATGTGTACAATTATGGAACTATAAATAGTATCAAATTATAATTTAATGAGGATGAAGGAGAGTATTAAAATTTCAGATGTTTCTTGTAGTTTTTGAGATGATGAATTGTTGTCACTATCAATTGACCCTCGTAATAAAATTTTTGTTAAAACAATTAAATGCTTTTCTTGATTTTAAATGAAATTTTTTCAAGAGATCTTTCTTTTTCATTTTGTAATATTTAAAAGCAACTAAAACAATAAATTGACATAAACAAAATATTAGTATACATTACAAGTTCAAATGTTGAGGACCAATGGTGTGGGATTATCAAACATTTTTGTATTTTCACAAAGTTTGATAAGTTATATTGATCTGAGCATTACCAATATTGCTAAATATTTTATACCAGCCCACAGTGCTGTATCCTTCCAATTTGTATACATACACTCTTACCGGCTAGTAATGATATAGTGCATGACTGTACTGCGTTAAGATTGATTGTAAAACTGCAAAAACATTAATGAAGATGTTATTTCCCATCTTTAATACACAATGTGTCTAAATGAATTCCAATTTGTGGAATACTAGTACACTGAATTATCATCAGACAATTTCAGATTATTATATCCTTTTAAGAAGGTGTAATATTACAAAGTATTACAAATTATTGGGTGTCAGATTGATGAACTTTCAATATACAAAAATATAGGTATGCGAAACTTGGCACTAAATTGTAATTTAGACAACCAAACTGCTAAGCTCTGGAAACCAAAGTTATTTTTTATTCAGTAATAGTTTTGTCCATTCTCTAGCCATTCTTGGCTTGCAATGAATACAAATGGGCAAATTAGCAACAAAATTTAAATCTGTGCACTATTGTTGTTCAAATGTATTTGTTCACATTTCAAGGTATGAATGTATTTGTTACTAGCTGAAAAGGGTCATATAGTAGGCAAAAATATTACTTTAATAAAAAATAATTTTGGCTTCCTCAACTTAGCAGCCTGTTGTTTTAAAGAATTTAAAGTATTCATAGTATTTCAGTATGATAATTCAACAGTTTCTATATTTATCATTTACTTGCAATAAAATAATGGCAAATTTACTCTATAACAATTTTCTTTTAAGAAACAATATAAATTCTTATACTAATAACTTCTAAATGTATTATTAGTTTAAAATTAATCTAATACCTGTTCCTTGCTGTATTCTTCTATGAGCTGTTGTGCCTCCCTCCACACAACAGAAATGACGGTCATTTCGTCATTTAATTTTATCATAACTTGCTGATCATTTTGATAGTCTTGTGAGGAATCATTCTGCCTAAAATAATTAAAAAACAATAAGATGACTTGTTTGCATATCTAGTTTATTCATGTACTAAGTTTCAGACAGTTGATAAAATATTTATCTAGAATTAATAAAATAAAATCCAGTTTCTTACTTTATCAGTAAATCTATACCATTTTGTATTAATGGATCAGAATACACAATGCTTTGAAATAGATATCTATTAACTAGTTCCCACGTTATGTTAAATCGTTTTAAATGCATAGTTTCCTGAAAAATATATTTTAAGAGATTACAAATTTGCATGAAAAATAATAATAAAAAGTCAGAGTAAATTATATTTTTGTTATAAATTTAATTACCAATTCTTGTAGTATGGGAGACAGATGCTTTGATGCAGAACATAATTTTGCATATTCCTCCAGTGTCGTTCTTATAAACGATTTTCCATTTGAGGATTTACCGGCAACTAAATGTCGTAGAAGGCGCAATCTCATTTCCACAATAAATAAATGGACCTGTGCTTCCAGACATTGAAATAATTTATGAGGATCTTGCTCACATAACCTATATAGCAAATTTTAATTATGTCAGCTTGTCCAAACTTTTTTCTTTATCTTTGAAATATTTTTATTTCATACAAATAAACCCAAAGAGCTGGAGTTTTATAGGTTAATTTTGCTATTTAACTAAATTATAGCATAAAAACAATCCATTGTTTGATAATCTCTATTTTCTCATGGTAAGAGGACTTGCGCAAACCTAGAGAACTATGCAGACTGGTCCATAACTCTCTAAGCATAACTACCAGCAAGATCTCTTATGTCAGGTAGGTTGAAGGTTAAGTGACTAAAAGAGATGCATCCAATACTGTGAGGTTTGTGTAGTGAGCTGGCTCACCTCTCAGTGAAAAATTAGAAAAATTATGAATGCTGAAAGACTAAACTAAAATATCCTACAAAAACTCAGGTTCTTTAGTTTTATTTTTGATTATTATGTATCTTATTATTATTATTTTTTTTTTTTATGTGTATTTTTACTCAAAGAATACCTGTGTAACAGATCCTTTAAATGTTCTGGACTTTGAAGCTTGTTACTTTCTTTATAAGAAGAAAATACTTGTTGCAACATGACCGAATCCCCCAAATTTAACCCAGCATCTCTGTACAATTGGTGAACAGCTCGTTTCAGTTCTGACCAGCAATTTCTCAATTCTTGTTGCTCCTTTATCTGCTCGGCTTCTGCCACCCTATAAAAAGAAAATTAAAATCTCTGTAAAAACACAATGTTAACAATTGAACTTAACACATAAAAATGAAGCCTATTGCTTACTGCTTTATTGGAAACATTCAGACTTTTTCTTAACCCAAGTATCAGTATTGTCACAGGTCTTCCATCCCATTGTTTATTGGAAAAGTTCATAATATTAAATTTAAATACAGTAATACCTCGACTTACGCTACCCCGATTTACGCGAACCCGGAGTTATGCAATTTTCAAATCTCGTCGATTCGTCTTTTGTTTGAGTTCCATGCAACTCTCAATTACTCACCCCCCACACTATTGTTCAGCTTAAATGTTTGGATGTGTCGCATGGAATCAACATATAGCTACAATTTATTTTGTGTTATTTATTTCTGTGTTTGTTATATCTGCAGAGACTTGAGAGACTCTACTATGTCATCTAAACGAAGTAGAACTGATTCTTCTGCATCAAACAAGAAAAGAAAAACTTTATCTTTGGAAGGTAAAGTTAACATTAAAGACTTTGATACAAAAATGAAAATTTGTGAATTGGCAAAGAAGTTTGATCTGCCGGAATTGATGGTCAGAACAATTACAAAAGATAAAGAAAAAATAATTGAAGCTGTGAAAAATGCTCAATCTTAAAATTCAAGCATCATTCGTAAACATCACGATATTATACCTGAGATGGAAACAATGTTAAAATTATGGTGTGATAATCAAGTAAATCTGGAAAATTGTGTAATAATCTAATTTGTTATACATATGTATTTTATTTTATTAAACATTTTTTTCTAAATTATTGTTTTCTTTAGTTTCCGGCTCCAATTAAAAATTATTTGTATGTATTTATATGCGAAATTATACTTACGCGAATTCGACTTATGCAGTTATCGCTCAGACCCACCTATCGCATAAGTTCAGGGTATTACTGTACTATAAATTTGGAAATTTATATCATTCCCAAAAGTACTTGGATAGTCTGAACATCTCCAAAAAAGCAGAAAACAATGATTGGAGAAGTTTTTGGTTTCCAATTGTTAACTGTTAAAAATGTAAAATTTTCTGTACAAATTAATAAAAACTTCTTAACTTGTAATAGATTTATAAATCAAGACAATGAGATCTTTATTTCTAAAAACTGATTTTCAGGTTAAAGTTTTCACTAAATAATAAAAAATATCAAAATTTTCTGCAAAACTTCATAGCATTTAGCAGGAACATGCATATTGCTCTGCACAATCAATGCAACATATTATAAAGACACAGTAGAGCGTCGATTATCCGAATCAATTGAGGACTGGGGTTGTTCTGAAAATCGATATTTCGGATAACCGATTATGTACGAAAAAATATATTAACCTATCCCATCCTGAAATTTTTCTCCATTGCATGTCGCTTCGCGTTGAATTTTCGTCGATGTTAAGCCTAACAAAGACTATTGTATCGTTAAAAATTATTTTTTTATTTTGTATAAACAAAATAAATATATTGAAAAATATAAAAACAATAAAAAATTATACTTCAGA